ATTCAACGAATATGCTTTTTTCTATTGGAGTAGCCAAGTTACCTTGAATTCGAAGCAAATGATACAAATAATATGATACAAATTAAGGAGGACTTAAAAGAAGTGATGTATTCATGCATTTTCAACTTCACCAAAGAAATCCCCTCCGGCGGTTATCCAAACATATTTGTGAAAAAAGGCATCAAAGAGAGGAAATTTTGCAAATGAGCTATGAACTCACAAACCGCAAGCTCCTTTGGTGCTGCAATATAATGGCAATAAAATTTCATATTTTCTCAAATTCACTCTCTTATCCGAAGTTTTCATTTCACAGGAACTCATTCAAATAATAGGAAACTCCCTCTCAAAAGAAAGGGAGAAGTGCTCCATCCGACATCTTTTAGATTGCTCGATGTAATATCACTGCAACGGAAGCGAACACTCACAATAACGTTAAGTTCCACAAAAAATTTTTTCGCTTAGCCTCAACTTTTAAGAGTTTTGAACAGCGTACGTAAATACCTTTACCAATGTATGATTGCCAAAGCGCATGTTCAGTCATGTTCGTTTCGAAAAGCTGTGGCTGTTGGCTATTTCAACAGCCTATCCGTGGTAGGAGCTCAAATATCTTGTTGACCAAACTCGACAGAATCGAGTCAACGGGGTTGCACCCACATCTCCCTCGCACCCGCCTTTGCTAAAAGGCAGCGTCCAGGCAAGTCTGGACACATGGGGATTTCACGCATATAGTAATTTTAGAGCCCGAACTAAGCCATTGCCCATCCGGCAGCTCAGGTAGTGCTCTAACGGCTGAGATATTCCCCTCGAAACTGGACCCTGCTATCGTATCTCGCATGGATTCATGGCGCAAAGCGTGGATCCTGGCGCGAAACTGCCATGAATCCATGCGAATACGATCGCGGGGTCCAGTTTCGAGGGCAATATCTCAGCCCTTATTAAAGCAATAAATGCGCTGCCGCTTGGGCATTGCCTTAGTTAGGGCCCTAAAAGTACTTTCCATGTAAAAATCCCATAGGTCCAGATCTGCCTGGACACTGTCTTTAACACGTTCATCGCATGAATAGGTAATTTTTGGCGTTCTATTCGCGCAGATTTCTTGTGGAAACCGGCTGCCTCCGCGCCCGCCCTACTCACTTGCCTATAGGGCTTCTTCAAAAAAAGTTGGAAATGTGCACTCTACCATACACAAGGTGTCCTAAAAAATGTGCACACCTTTGATCGTTAATAACTAGGGTCAAGCGTGGGGTGTGGCATGACACACCTGGGGGATCGTATTGAGGAATCAGAGAAGGGGGGGGGGTCGTTATCAAGACGTTCGCTGTCCGCATAACATGATATTCGTTAACAATGTCAAATAGGCGCGTCATGCAAAATACTAACGCGTTTGACCCATTAATACGTACAGGTAAGCATAATTAAGGATCTAAAGCATAAGAGCATCGTTTTGTAGTTAGCAAGTAAAATAACCCCTGTGGTTCAAGTTTCAGCGATTTCTGGAGTTTTCAAATACAGGACCTAAGCGAGATGGTCGTTTTCAAACATGTTACTTTGTTTCAAAGGTAAGTTAACAACTTCTTTTTGCGCTTAATACAAAGAACTACTATCTTTCCTCACCTTAGGAATCCTACTTCAAATGACCTCCAAATTAAGGAATCAAGAGAAGCCAAAATCTCGTTTGTTCCATTTTTCGTTTTTAATATCTCAGGCTAGAGAAGACCATTCAGGCTCAAACCACTCTAATGAAATTTACGAGGCTTAGGCTATCGAATATATACATTTTTGTCGCCTTCCTTTGCGATTCACGTAGTAGCGCAGACTTAGCATGTTACCGTATCCCAATATTTTCGCAGTATTTTACCAGAATTTTACATTTGCATAGGTAAGGAAAAACAGTTTTATCTTGCTCTTGAAGAAATGTCTTCATATGAACTTTCTGCTATGTAAAGAAGAAGGTTAAGCAGTAACAACGATATAAGAAACGCAGGTATTAAATCTGTTCGAAGGTCAGTTAATGGGGTGTAGCATCACCTCTAAAAAGCTGTGGCAGCCACAGCTTTTTAGGGGTGGTGCCACACCCCTTTAACTACATCAAAGAACAATTGATAGCCTAGACTTTGTAGATTCTGTAGGAGTGATTTGAGCCTGATTCGTCTTCTTAGCTCTGAGTAATATTCGGTGAAAGCACTAAAAGCGAAAAAGGAAAAACAAGATTTTGGTTGGCTTCTAATTCCAAAGTTGGAAGGTCTTTTGAAGCGAGGTTTGTGAAGTGGTCAAAGAAGGAATAGTGCTTTGTCTTGCGTGCAGAAACAGCTAACTACTTCACCTCTGAAACGAAGTTGCTGAAAAATGGTGATTTTACTTAGGTGACCCAGTATCTTGAAACTTCAGATTCGCTCAAACATTGTCTACGGAAATAATTGACATGCTAATTATGGATATGTTGCCCGTTATGTTTGGCAGGGCCTTCAAGTAATGCTGTCTTAGGTAGATACTTCAGGGGGTCTTATTGAGACAGCAATAAGAGAGAGGGGGGGGGGGGTCGTAACCAGCGATCGTGTGCTACACCTCTTGCTTGACCCTGTTAATAACTTCCTTTTGATGTCTTCAGCCGATCTTCAGGTACCGTTCTGTGAGCGAGGTTCAACTTGCATTTACAGTATGGAGCGATACATCGATCATCCTTTTACTGTAGGAATACGGTGGGAACTTCGAAAACATTTTAGGCCATTTGAGGACATATTCTGCCCCCGAACAAAGCCAAATGTTGAAAACTCTTATATTAGGGTGAACGGTAAAAAATGGGACAGCTTGATTTTTTTTCCATTTTGAGGTATTTTGTTCTCACCAACAACAAGTAGGCTACAACTTAAACGTCGCTTACATAAACGACCTTCACCTATTATTCTGGCAACGCGTTACCGCTCCTCTCTCATAACCGTACGCGTGGCGCCGTGAAGAACTCAAACAGGGTTTTTGGAACAGTTCTCAATCTTGCGCTGCTATACTGTAAAGTCGTAAAGCATATGACATACCATTCGAAAGAGCTTTTCATGCTCTTTCAATTGGTATGTTAAATGCATGAGATTTCTTTTCAATCTCAGAAAAAAAAAGCGAAAAAACCTGAAAAATAGCTACTTTTTGGCGCAATAAAAAACCAAAAAAAATCATGTTTTGCCCTATATTTTCCAAATAGATAAAATCTAAGATAAGCTGCACATGGATGGATAGAGCGCAAAAAGCTCTATCAGACGGTACCTAGAAAACATGCGTTCACCTGCAAAGAATTGAATAGCGCGTGTCTTTGTCCTCAAAGCTGCTAATGGCCATATTTCCTGATTTTGAAAGTTGAGACCACCAAGCCGTCGTGGGTTTAGTGACTGTCCCACCACCCACTCCAGCAGTGGTACCTTGGGTGGTCTCAGATGTTTCGCTGCGCAGATACTGCTCAATCTTCATAATTTATCGAAGTGACTAACTTTGCATTTCAGCAAGTACAAAAATTATTAATCATGTAAATGACCAAATAGGTATTATCTGAAAGATAATAACATATTCTAGCATCTATCAAAATTGGAAAGCCTAATCGCTTCTCATTCTTGAGAAACCTCCAGTTATTTCGTAAGTGTCCCATTTTTTACAGTTCACCCTAATACTATGGTAATGAAAGCCGCTGATTTCAAATATGAAACTTCCACTTTACTGTGATGCTTCGTTCTTGAGTTATCCCACGTAGACCATAATAACCGAATTCCCAGCATTTGTCAGAAAAATGATTACACCATCAAGCTGAAAATACTCGTAAAAAATGTTTACAGCTTGCGCGAAAACCCTGATACATGATTTTTCAGAGTTTAAGAAAAACATTTTGTCAGATGGCACGTTTCACAATGCTTCCATATGCCGGAAGTGCTTACCGTAATCCTACAGTAGCAAAGAGCGAGCGGTGAATCGCTCCATACTGTTAATCGAAGTTGAACTTCGCTTTAAAAGATAGTCAAAGGTCGGCGAAAGACGTCGCAGCAAGGAAATTACTGAGGATCAAGCAGCGTGCACATTTTTTGGGATACCCTGCACAATACTCATGGCAGTTAGCTTATCTTGTAGTCCAAGCTTTCCATGCAGTCTTAACTCAGCTTTTTGCACGGAAAAAAGTCTTGCCACAGAAGGGATCCCAAACATTTGGCGCTGAACTACGGCGAAAACAACTCATAAACGGTTTTTAGACGAGGTTAAGTACAATTTGAACGAAATACTCGAATAGGACATTCAATTGGTATTCGGTCGAGAAGCACTTCGAATTCTGTTCAAAACCCTGATTTCAAATTTACTTTTCTAATTTTGTTCCACAAACAAAAAAGTTCTTTTGAGTTTGAGTTCTGAGCTTTCGCTCTTCAAATACATTTTTTGCCCTTCTATTCGTTCAGAAGTTAGTTCAATTCGACCAGAGTAGAGTAAACAATAAGTACGATCTAAGTGCAAGTTTCTGTAATCAATTGCATTTGCATCAAGAAAATCATCACACCTACTAAAATAACTCGTAATATATCTTCTATAAAATAGAAGAATAATTTCAGAAAATTTTCAAAAGGAAGAGACTTGGTCGGAACTGTAAACAAACCCTGCCTCGTAAAATTCATGAGGCGCTCAAGAAAGTTTTTCCGCGGACTTCGACAACTAGATCCACCAAGTCTTCAACTTCAACAACAACTACAACTTTTACAACAAGTAAAAGGACAAAGACTTCTACAACAACTTCCACAATCACGACTACTCCCACAACTACGACGACTGCAACAACTTCCACGACCACAACGACTACTACAGCTCCCGCAACCACGACAACTACGACAGCTCCCACAACCACGACGATAACGACAACTCCCACAACCACGACGACAACGACAACTCCCACAACCACGACGACCACGACTACTCCCACAACCACGACGACTACGACAGCTCCCACAACCACGACGACTACTACAGCTCCCACAACCACGATGAATACGACAGCTCCCACAACCACGACGACTACGACAGCTCCCACAACCTCGACGACTACTACAACTCCCACAACCACGACGACTACTACAGCTCCCACAACCACGACGACTACAACTACCACAGAAACGACTTCTACATCAACTCTCACAACCAGGACTTCTACAACAACTGCTACAATAATATTTTTGACCACTTCTATAACAGCAGCTGTTACAAGGTACAATGATCGGATTTATCAATATTTTAAATAACCGGCTAATTACAGCAAAACATTAACTCAGCCAAGCGCTACTTCCTTCGACTTGTCAAAAGGCGGGACTGTGAGAGGTAAAGTTATGAATACTTCAAAGGCTAACTAATCCAACTAAACTTTGACAGGTTCTACATCAATTCTTGGAATAGCTTCGAAACCAACTCTGATGACAACTTCTACAACAGCACTTATCACAAGGTGCGGAAATCAGAATTACTTAGAGTTTGAAAAATGGAAAAGCTGTTTACAGAACAATAATCGCTGAACTGGGTGTTTCGGTGCAGAGTAGTGCTGGAATTTCAGAACAAGGTAAGGCTTTTTAGAAAGACTGTTAATGTGGGCTCAGCATAGCATCAATAACTGACGCACAAAAGTGAGAGGAATATAAGCTTTAAGCGACGAAAATTTTGAAAGAAAAGACTTCTTAGTTTTTGAAGAGTGCTCCTCAGAAGCTTTCTGGTTCTAAAAAGCGCCAGTCCTTACTTTGTCGTCAACTGCCAGTTTTTGCATTGAAAGAAACCCTAGCTTTGTGCAAAGACGCTAAAATTGCATCCGAGTTTGCACATTTGCCAAAGGTCCTGTATTGTTTGGCTATCTGCAAATCATTTAATCTGCTACCATTCAAATACAAGGTCACAATAAAGTGGAAATTCCACTGGGTAATGGAAATGTATCATTCGAACGAGATGATTCGGGAACATGAAACAAAAAAAAACAAGCAATTTAGTATGTGTTTCCAAATCCATTCTCATCCAATCGATTTCAGCTAAAGCACGGTAAAACTTGTTGTCCAACTCGTTTTCCAACAAGCCCATTCACATCGGGATCAATTTTAGATTGAATCTAAATTCGAACCGAATTTGGGTAACTATGTCTCCACCCTGGGCGTTTTCGCAAGATAGTGCAAAATGTGCGACGGCGTTGTGGGAAGTTCTCAGAGAGATCTCCAATGTTGATGACGTTTGCGTAGACTCCGTAAAGGCGTTTGCGCCGACATTAGTTGCTCGTTGTGATTTTACGCAGCCGGAGGGACGTAGCGCTAATCATGCCTTCCATAATTTGTCTTCTTTGAAACCTTTCGTGTGACAGTTATTTTCCCAGCCCTCGTGAAACTCTGCTGAACCTTTATAGCGCGACATTACAGCAGAAAGATTCATCAACAACTAGTTCAAGAAATATCAAAAGTACAAATTACCTACTTCTAAATTTGCTGCTGAAATTCTCGAATTCTGAGAAATACTTCGAAAAGAAAAATTTACTGACAGTCATAGGCATGGGTCACTCGCTATTGGCGACCACTTTGAACACATTTTCAAGAAACTCTGTGAAATTTTCTTTTAGGAAAATGTAATGTCACGACATTCGCTACATTAAGTCCTTTGAGAAAGGTATGATTAGCGGCTTTAAGTTTACACTAAAACAGATTGTTTAGCGAGATTACCGACGAGCTCACAAAAAGGCTTTGTAAGCTATTTTTGAATTAATCATTGATTTTCCAAAATCTTCTATTTTCCGGTTTATTTTAGGAAGCATGCGACACTCGAGATGTTTGTATTAACCTTTTTGATGATAATCACACTACTGAGCCAACTCGGCCTGATCAGGCGCCTTCGCGAAAGGACGCTGATGATGGAGATGAGCAAGAGAAGAGAACATACTTCGTACAGCATGAATAGAAAACGCCATGATAGATTGCACTCTGAAAAATTGACGCCAAAGATGCTACTTGACGAAAAGTTGCTAAAGTCTGAAGAAACTCCAAGAGGTGGAGCGAACACTTCGTTTAGCGAAGAAGAAAGCTTCGTTCACCAGATGAAAGAGAGCAAGTACTAAAGCGATCATTGTCCTTACGACTACAAACGAATTCAGAAACTTTACAATTGAATTAAGATTTTCAAATCTTTTAATTAAATGGGTGAATGAATTGTGTAAATAATAAGAATATCTCTCGCTAATGACTTGCAAAGGCTTCGAGAGCTTCTCAAATAAAAATCCTTCATGAACACCTACAACTGTTATAAGGTTCGTGCCACAAATTTGTGAATAGTGATCTTTATAAGAATGGCAAACATTACACTATTCGCGGCTTCAAAGACGTAGGAGTTATTCGCATTTACGCCTCTAGAATTCGAAAATGTTCACAAGAGAACTTATCAAACACATCGCCGTGTTTTCATGGTGCTAAACTACAAGGCATATGTTTTTATGGCGGGTTCTCAGGTACGCTGATCAAATCTGCCTCCTCTGTTTACTAAAAATACAACTTACGAGCTTTTTTGTACCCGTTGTGCCTAATGAGCATGCGTAACTTGCCTGCATATACTACTGGGCAACTTCGTGTTACAAAGAACATGCGAATCAAACATATGAGGCTTATGGTCTTTTCAGCAACACTTGGGCAAGCATTGAAGGCAGAAGTGGGACCGTGTTATACTTTGGATATGGTTATAGGCGCCGTAAAATCTAATTGCCAACGAAGAGAGCGGTCGTCGCGAACGACTGTCGGCGTTTACTATATTCCAAGAAACTTTCTTTAGTTTTCATGTTGTTCTCGTCAACAAGGTATATCTTAAAGAAAGCTCCCTTCAAAAGTTAAAAAAACGTGTGGAAAGGGTGCGCGCTCTTTGTTGCTCGCAAAAAGCCTGTAACGCTCCGGGACCAAACGTTTCCAGCTGCGCCGCCGTTGGTGTTCAAAGCGCATGGGCAATTGGATTTTACGGTACCTTACATTCTAAATAGTAATTCGCCGTCCAGTCAAAGTAGTCCCACTTCTCTGTTTCCGGCTTATTACGCAGTGTTTGGCTCTGCTGCTGTGCTCTATCAAATCTTTTTGATTACCATACCAAGTTTAGTTTGGGCAGAGCTTATGCAAATGAATCTCTGCGACTAAAATATCTATTGTCGCACTGAACGGTCGCCGTGAGGTATCATCCGTCATGTCTGTAGGCTAAACCTGCAAGAAAATCAAGCCTATTGCAACTCAAGGGCTAAATCAGCACAATGGAAGCGCCATCATTCTGCTCTATAGCCTCTGCGCTTATCCACTACATAAATGAATTTTTTTGGGAACCTGCTTTGAGAAATATCCGTGTTTGTTTACTAAAACTGTTACTTTCGAGTCAAATTGACTGATGGTTTGAGCGAAAGTGTTCGTGAACTATTTCGAAGATATGCGTTCGCTCATGCAATTATGCCTGAGATGTCCTAGATTGTTTTCACACTCCAAATTTGCTACAAAAACCGGGTCACTCATAAATAAAGTCAGCAAAGGTCAAGTACCAATATGAACACTGACGAATTGGCAAAATATCAACAAGAAAGCAAAACGAAAATTCCTGTGGAATCAGTCGAGCTTCTACCTGACTTGAGACAAGCTTTTGTACTCTGGGGGCTCAGCCAGGGATGGCAGTTTGGCGAAGTGTAAGGCTGCTTGCACAAAGGATGACAGCGTAGATGTATAGGCGCCGTAAAACCTAATTGCCCGCGCCGTGCCTTGAACACCAGCGTAAGCGAGCGGTCGTCGCGAACGACTGTTGGCGTTCACTATATTCCAAAAAATCTTCCTTAAACTTTCATGTTGTTATCGTCAATGCAAGGTATATCTCGACGAAAACCCCCCCCCCCCTCAAAAGTTTACAAAAATATGTGTGGAAAGGACGCGCGCTCATTGTCGCTCGAAAAAAGCCCGTAGCGCTTCGGGACCAAACGTTTCCAGCCGCGCCGCGCGTTGGTGTTCAAAGCGACGCGTGGGCAATTGGGTTTTACGGGGCCTGTACTTACCCTGCTCACGTCCAGTGCACAACCAGGCGAGAGAGAAACAACATAAAAAGCGGCTAAGCATGCTTCACCAAATGCTACGAGGGTCGGAGCACGAGCACTGCCCAAGCGTGCAGCTCTTTCGAAACCAAAAAGCAAACGCAGAAGGCAGATTCTCCGCTGTAAAACGTTCCGCTGCGGTGCAGCACTTGCACAGTCTTTGCAATCCACATCTTAAGCAAAGAATATTAGACACGAGTACAAGAAGGCTAAGCCGCACACCTGTGGTATAACTTTGCGGACTGCTCCCGCTCACCCTCTTCGTCCTAATGCGCCGTCTCCCAATCCAGAAGCAAAAGCCCCAGCGCTAAGGGCTTCCGCCGTTTAGCACGTTATTAAGAACAGTCAAAGAAACCACGTACTGCTTCCGTCTTGCTGAAGCCAGATGAAGCATTGTCGACAGATGAGGAGCGAGAAGATATTCTCTGGTGTGACAATCCCATATAAACACACCTGTTAACTCTCACATAAGACACCTTTAGTTTCAGACAAAAGCGTAAATTCGCAGCCGGGTTCACCACTACAAACACGTGGATCTTCACTCATCAATCCAAAGGATGCGCCTGGCATGTCCGCAGCCAAATTAATCGGTTTAATGGTAATCTACAGTACTGACGTACTCTATCAGGTTCTTGGGAAGAAACCCACAGCGGTTGCCGGTCAACTTTTAAGTGGATTGATAATCTTTTTCCAATCGCAACCGGCAACAAGACTCTAAGGGAAGACTTTAGCGAAGCGAAAGCGGATGTAGACTTCGTCCGCCAGATCCAAGAAAATCACCAGGGACAGGACGACGTGATGCTTGTCACGGGAATTCCGTTTGGACTTCGCAAAGGCGACACGCCAGTGATTTCACGTTTACACTCGAGAAAGCCAAACAATCGTAAGACGAGTGGGTTCTCGAAGCTTACCAGTGCGGCAACTCAGATATCTGACTTCGACAACTCTTTGAAAAATTCGGAGGCTCAAACGGAGCTACCACTCCATACTGTCGATCACGGTAGTGGCGACTCCGAGTTAGGAGTCACACCGCGCGCGGCGGCCGCTTCGCCGCGCAAGTAACGCACGGAAATTTCTCAATGCATATGGACGAATGCTTTAATGTGTACGAACGGATATTCTCTAGTTCACGTTATTTATGCCCCAATGTTCTCTAACCTGCAGGCTGCAGAATTCAGTAAATTCCTTTATCTTCTAGGACGTGAAAGAAGTTTGATTTCAAACGATCTGAAGCCAATGCATGATCAAATAGGTGATTTGGCATTTAACAACTATCGCATGTACGCAGATGCTGGCAGGACACTCAGCACTGGAAATTGTAAGTTTCTTGCATTTTTTTTTACCACAACACGAAGAATATGTTTCCTTCCAGCTTACCGAGATGAACATACTCGTACAGAAGATGTTTGTAAGGAATTGGAAGTTGTCAAATCCGCCTGTGAAAAAGATAGTCTAGTACTGGGAACCTCTGTCGCTCACTTCGGTAAGCCAACATGTTTTTACATTAATTTTATCCTTTTTATTAGGGAAGTTTTTCTTTTTCTAGAGAATGGACGTTTGCATTCATGCCGGTTATTATGGAGCTGCATATTCAACGAATTACGGTATGATGCTTCAGCTCATAAAGAATCCTTTAGTCAAGGTAAGCATGAGAGGCTCCATTTGTTCCAACCGCAGCTTTGATTCACCGCATTGCTGACACATTAGTGGAAGCGAGAGCATTCCTTCTCAGAGAGCTATTCAATAAATTCTCAGGCCCTCTTAATCTCGCTTCTTATAAACATATACAATACGTCTATATCTACCCTGAAGCTCTGTTTTTTCCACTTTTTCTTGTTCAGATTGTCAATAATGTGCCAAAAATGCCTCACCTTACACCTACGCAATTACATGTTTGCATGGCAGCACAGATATGTATTTAGATCGTCAAATCCTCGATATCAGGGTCGGTTTCTAACTTTTTTTACTGCTAAAAGCTTATGGATAATTTGCTTACAGAACCATCCCGAATTTGCAATTCGTGTTATTGAAATCTATAAATATTGCATGTATGATACGCTTGTGCTATATCTTGCTGTCTTCCCAGAAGACGAGACAATGCGCAAAAATGTGAGTTGAGTTTTCATAAAAGCTACTTATCCTTTCATTATAAATCTCCCTTATCCTTTCAATGTCGCAAAACATTCTATCTATAGTTGTCTTTGGACCCGAGGTGGGAAACATAGCCTTCAAGCGCCCCGTCATCGGTTCTTAGACAGTGGACGGCAAGAAACATCACTCGATTACTCGATATCATACGGAAAGCTGTCATGAAGTAGGTGTCAATTTCTATGCACTGAAGTTTTTCTTGGCACTTTGAAACTGTTGTTGTCATTTTACACATGATGCTGATTTGATTTAGAAGCAGCGTTGATATGTCACTGTATGGTCTAAGCTTATGTCGTTGGCTGCATCTTTGGGTCGAATGGATCTTTGTTTTTTTTCACTTGTCGTCGATTCTCTCATCAAGTAGTGTTAGAGCGATTCCCTTCTGCTGTCCGAATAGCAACCAATACGTTAGTTTTTCCATGCCATTTATTGATGGTCGCGTCTGATCACTGTACATGTTCCTGAACGATACAAAAGTGTTGTCCATTGCTAGTGGTGAATTACCTTACTTGGCTTTAGACAATGAACCTTTGGACGCCAGTAAGCCTCCACAACCTTCACCAGAAGTGTCCTTGTGGGATGATATCCGCGCTTATGGCAATGCAGTAGTTGAAGCTCTGAATGGGTTGCGCTAAACTTCAAGCCTTATGCTGGTACGTGCTTGATGGATATACCGTTTCCAGAGATATCTTTTGCAGATCCAGAATTACCAATAAGGGTATCGTTACGCAGCAAATTGATATGGCTTTCTGGCCAGTCATCGTCTTCGCATTTCAAAAGGCCGTAAAAATTTTCAGTTTCCACTTTGTTCCACTGTTCCCATACTCCGAGATCCCTCGTCTGTCCGGAACAACGCCAAGTCCACAGATCTTTGTGAGTAACATTATTCCACATTCATATTTCCATCATACTTGAATTTGGCAATTTTTATTTTTATTTCGTACAATACATGCTCTCGAGCTAAGATTTTCCTTTATCAAAGCTTTAGCTTTGGTAGTGTATGCGCAGAAAACCTATTTCAAGTTAAACTTTTGGTAGTCTCGGCTGAACACTGTACTTTAGCCCCACATGTTCCCATTAGCAATAATTTTTATTACAGAAATCGTTCACTGAGCTCAACATGAAGGAGTTGATGGCTTCTTGCCAAGCTTGCGCGAGCGTCCAATAAGCTCTTGACAAACTTATGCAAGAGAGGATAGTTCCTGATTTGGAGATTCTGAACATTCCTAGCAATGAAATGAAAGAACTGGATACTACTGAAGCCAAATCTTACAAGCAGACGTGGCTTTTGCACTTTCGGATACTTCCATGTGCTCCCCTCCTGAGCAAAACCCAAGTTCCATTCATTTCGAACTTGGAGATGATAGAGGCGAGGGTGCTATTGTGGAGAAAGCAGTAGCGGAGGAAGCCACAGGGTAAGGGTACGTTCCTTCAGAGTATGTCACAATTCTTTCGCAATCGTACAAACGTAAACTCGAAGAGATTTGGCGATATAGAGCACCCTTCAAATTCAACATCTGTGTGTATGCGCCAGGCCTGACAAGAAGAGTTGTCTTGATGTTGATGTTTATTTGAAGTAATTTTTTGTATGCCGAACGTTACGACTGGACCAAAAAGCTGTCGGTTTTAGTGATGTCTAGCAATGAAAGAGTATTTGGTGACCGTGACCATTTGAGAAGCGATGTTTACCGTAAGGTGCATCTCGAAAAGCTGCTTCTAAGTCTGCATCTGCTATCTGCGAAACGACTTTCTGGAGGAATCGTTTTACTTTTTTTAAATTCGTATACTTCTAAGTTGAAAGCACCAGGTCTTGTTCCCCTTCTGACTACCAAAGAAAATCTTAGATAGTATACTATTGTGATAAGGCTAAATTAGTGCATATTCAGCAGTTCAAAAGGCAAATTTTACTAACGATTTTGACCCTCCACAGTAGTGTGAATTATTCTTTAAAAAATTATCATAACTCCGCTTTGATTATCGTTTCTTTCATATGAGAGTCGTTTTCGAACCAACATTCAAGGGCGCATTTTTCAACAAACGCTTTTTCATAAATGGCCACTGTCACCAAGTATACTTCCCTTGTACGGTCTATGAGCCGAAGTGTTGTAGACGCAAGCTTGTCCGCTAAGGGTTCTTCTTGACCAAATAACCATTTCGAAATAAAGGAGAATGATGACTTTCAATACTAGATCACTTAAGGATGAGCGTGTGATCATAGAGATCAAACACCTCACATCAAAAAATCTATCAATAGTTCCTTCCAAAAATCACGTTCATATCCCACGCACGTACATTTGTGGTATCTTCCCCTCCACTGCTGTTACCCTTGGTCTGCGTCTCAGACCTGCCACGTGTGCCTAACATGTTGGCAACATGCTTGCGACGTGCACCAACATGTTGGCGTGCCCAAAATGTCCTGCAAACATGTTGTAGCATGTTGCAAATAAGTTGTTGGCACGCTGCCAACATGTTAGCCCCACGCACGGCTGGTGCTGGACGCATACCAAGGGTAGTAGCAACTTGGAGGGGACGATATTAGTTTCTTCTACCATGCCAAGTGAAATAGCTGTTGTTGACTGGGACGCAGACTAAGGGTAGTAGCAACTGTGGAGGGGACGATATTAGTTTCTTCCACCATGCCAAGTGAAATAGCAACATCAATCCAGCGCTACATCGGGGAGAGGGACGTTAGCCAAAAAGCAACTCACGGCATCTGTCGCTACAGGATCCCTGGGACTCGGATGTCGTACGTGTTCATTATTCAAAGAAGAAACCAAAGGAGTGAAGTGTATGCCTGCAGAGCCTGCAGGAAGAAACATGGCCATCACATGAATGTAAGGGTAAGTAGTGCTAAAGCTTGTCTGACTTAAATCCTCCCCGATTCCGTAAGCGCAAGTGAGTGGGCGGGGGCTACCAATGATTTGAGAGTCTACCTGAAGATAGGCAGGGGCGCGGCTGATGTCGCCTTGAGGCATGATAATCTACGGTTCTAGTCATACACTTTGGGCATTGCGAAGTCTTGCAAACGGCGCCAGTCGGCGTCGTTTTTTCGAAATGTGCTTTGCCCAAGAAGAAGGGTGCACAATATACTTAAGGAAATTTGAAATGTTTTCGAATGTTTGGATATCGGACAGTATTCAAAAATCAAAATTTACAAATATTCGACTAAATAACCATTCACCTCTGCTTGGCAGAGGCTCGCATTGGCTTCACTTTCTGCATGCCTGACTCATTCCTGCATAGTAATAACAATGAAACTCATCGTACCATGCAGGCTATCACGAATGATTCGTAAGCAACCTATTCATTTCTAGAACTTTTTGGTGAGATTGGTATTTTCGCGTGGATGAAACTTTTTCGAGAAGAAGTAATGCGAATTTAAATCGATTTTTGGACTTTTTCTGGCTTGGTAGTCGCCATAGCAATAATCACCGTGGGATTACATTTTTGTGCAAAAATCTTTTCAAATGATCAGGTAAAATATTGGCAAGTTGAACGTTTAAGCAACTTATTCTTTTTGGCGTCATTTTCGTAAAGTAATAATTTTGTTTCCATTTTTCAGGTTAATGTCCATGGCTTCCACATTAGCTCGTCAAACATATCCATGACTTCGCAGAAAGTGTTGGTACCAGCCCAATTTTGCTGGCCAGAAGCCAAGTGGATCCGTTTGACGCGCAATTTTTGGGAATCCACTCAGCAAATCCGCTCGTGCTTTTGCATAGCGGTCTTTCATGCTGCTAGCATGCGCTATGCAAAATTTGGGCTGAGGGCGTTGGCTGGAACACCCTCCTCGTAACGAACACACAGACACACACACACACACACACACACACACACACACACACACACACACACAAAGCTTAAACATCTTTAGCCCATTCTTATAATTTATGATATTAAAAACCTTAGGTTTTGAATATTCGAATTTTCGAATCATTGGCATTCGAATGATTTATTTGAATAATCGAATAATCGTTGGACTCGGTCTAAAGTATAGTGCACAATGAAAACCTGGAAGTAGAACAGATTGCATGAACAGTCAAAGTGATTGGGCACAGTGGAATTGTCAACGCGCTAGGACGGCTTAATTACGGGTTTCGTGATGGAATTTTGTATAAATTTTTTATCTATCATCGTGTTCTCTAAACAGTATGTTGTCTCAGGTTATGGGAAACGAAATTTATGAAGACCCTTGCAAAAATCATAAATGCTAAGCTATAAATGCTTCTCTTGACAGGGCGATTCGAATCATATATGAAGTACATAACTTTTTCTAATCCGCTTTTGACTGCATGTAATAGCGTAAATCAATTTTTTGGAAAACCCGATTCCAGACGTGTCAGAAAATCAAAAATACTGCGGATTTGGCATCCACTTCTGTCATGCGAGTGTGGGAAAATAGAATTCAAATTGCAATGACTGAGGAAAAAGCGAGAGACAAAGTGGTAGCTCACTTCTTCAAAAGAGGACTAGCCACACGCGTAAAAGTACCCAAAGGTTAGGAGTTGCGTTTGTATAATGAAAACAAATGGAATTGTTTCCTTGAGAGCGAAGTCATGTCACGCGGATCATTTAATCAACTGGAGCTGTCTACCTGAGAGATATGAAAAACTCTCGAATGGGGCTGCATTTCTACAGGAGCTAACACCAATGTAAAATGTGTACTTTTCAAGTGATACTTTGAGAGTGGGTGCTTACGCACCATAGTTATAACTCGTTATGAAATTGAGATTACAGATGGCGTGTGAGCAGGGAATAAAGGCCTTGATCATGGATGGTATACAATCTTGCCGGCCAAATTCATCAGTTTTGAAAGGCTTTTTTTAAGCTTGCTTTGGCATACGCGCTCATGCGCAACAAAACGCAAGAAACGTATGAAAAAGTCTTTGAAAAAGTTCACTGCCAGCTGCATTCAATCAACCCGAACATGACTCCACCAACAATCATAGCTGGCTTCGAGATAGCGGCAATTAGGGCCGCGGAAAGACATTGGCCCGTAGTAAAGCTGCTTCAGTCGATCTCAACTGAATAAAATTTCAGTTGAGGCTTCGACGAATCAGCTTGCCTTCATTCGAGCCATTGATCCATATCGTTTATTTATACGTAATCATTCTCGAGAAGACCACGTATTGTACGAGTCAAAACTCGTAATTCACCCCATTCAATTGTTCTACTACTAGAAATGAAAAAAGTGGTTTAAACTTGTCAGAAATGTATGGTGTAACTTCCACTAGGCTGATCCCAATGAATGATAGCTCTAAGAGCTCGTTTGTAGGAAAATCCTTTTAGAAAAGTGAGTTCAAGCGCATTGTTGGAAGGTAAAAGTAGAACATGGCCTAATAGTCAGTTCTTGCGATTTTGTGGGCACAGGATTTGTTAACGGGTCATTACTAACGCATCTTTCTGATGGTATTGATCATCTCTCTACATTCAAGCTCCGCCTTTAATAATTATCATATGCAATTGCCTTCGAAAACGCCAAACAATTGTTTGCATCATCTGTTGTACTACTCAAATGAATTCCCACTGTCTCCTGAGGACGGTCATATCGCGAGCGACTGAAAGCCTTACTAGTGTGGAGTATGAATCTAGTCTCTTAATACTCGATTGCCGAAACGAGCGCCTTTCACATACA